TCGGTCCGTTTCCCTAAAGATGGCTGTTGTGAATAATTCATAGTGATAGCTGATTTTGACAATTTCAGAGAGATTAAACATCTGCTAATATTCAGTTTATATCGCTTTGAATTTGATACAAAAACCTTGATTTTTACTTTTTATATTTGAAATAATGTCGAATTTTGTGTTAACCAAGCAGCATTTGCGGAAGGTTTTGATTTTCTGCTTTAATTGGAAGAAAAGTGCGGCTGAAGCCGCACGAATGCTTGTCGAAATTTATGGTGACACTGCTCCAACTGATAAATCATGTAGGAAATGGTTTCAACGTTTCAAGGATGGAGATTTCAGCGTTGAAAACAAGCCTCGCTCTGGACAGCCAAAAAATTCGAAGACAAAGAATTAGAGGAATTACTCGAAGAAGATCAGAGTCAAATGCAAGAGGAGCTTGCAGAATCATTGGGGATACCTCAACAAGCCATTTCTGTGATTGAGAGTCATGGGAATGATTCAAAAACAAGGAAATTGGGTGCTTTATGAACTGAAATCGAGAGACGAAATTGAAAAGCGATTTTTCACTTGCGAACAACTGATTCAAAGACAACAGAGAAAAGGTTTTGCATCGGATTGTGACTGGAGATGGATATTCTATGACAATCCCAAGAAGAAAAAATACTACGCTAAGCCCAATCAATCGTTGCCATTGACCTCAACATCAACATCACGGCCGAACATTCATGATTCGAAGATCATGCTCTGTATCTGATGGGACTAAAAGTTTACTATGAGCTGCTGAAACCTGGCGATTCCATTACGGGCGATCGGTATCGGCTACAATTGATTCGTTTGAACATTACGAGAAAAATGGCCAGAATACAAGCAAAGACATGATAAAGTTATTCTTTTTCATGACAACGTTCGGCCTCATGTCGCTAAAGTCGTAAAAAAATATTTGGAAATGCTCAAATGGGATGTTTTACCGCATCCGCCGAATTCTCCGGACATTGCTTCTTCTAATTACTGGTTGTTCCGAAGGATGCAGCAAGTCACCGGTTCACTTCTTTCGCAGAAATCGAAAATTGGCTCTAAAATCGCCTCCAAAGACGAGTCATTTTTTCGAAATGAAATTCGAAATGAAATTCGAAAATTGCCTGAGAGATGGGAAAAAGTAAGGCAGCGATGGAAAATACTTTAATCGATCTGTTCATTCATTTTGTTTTGAAATAAATGCATTTTTGAACGGACCGAACTAATTTGTATTCCCAATATAATGAGAAAGAAAGAATGAGAGGGATATTAGCCTTTCACGGAACTCTTATTCCTTCCTCTCTCTCATTTTTGTCGACATTATCACTTCGATACGATTATTTAGACGAGCAGTCCATTCTCTATGCTTTGACTCCCACTAACTCCAATTAACCTAATCGGTCGATTAAGTGTCAATCGTGATTGGTCAATTTTGCTGAACAGCAAATACAATTGATCAATTCCAATGTAAAGATCGCAGCACAGACTTTTGTAACGTATAACACAGTGCATAAGTCCGGATCTACAATTATAAATTATTAATGTTTTATAAGCCTTAAGTCATGAGATATTGACCAATTACAATCGAATGCGAGGAGAATAATTGATAATGATTCGTTCATTTCTTATGGTTTCAGGCTTAAAAATCTATTGTAGATCCGGAATAAGAATCAACTAAACAAAATCTTTTCTCTCCTTCTATTCCATGAAAAAGAAGAATTTCAATTGATTGATTCCCTTATGCATTATACATTATGCGTTATATAAAAGTCTGTGTTATGATCATAACAATCAATCAATTAAGGGCTGGTAATAGTCCGTAACCATAATTTGGTTTCCATAGCTGTAGTGACCATTACTGCAATTTGTTAAAGAATGATTTTAAATAGCCGGTATTTCGCTGTTATGGCCGCGATATAGTCATAAAGAAAGTTAATAATATAAATAAATTTTAAATTTAATAAAAAATATAGATTTGACATGATAGTGTAAAATGTTCCTATGTGTGTAGAATGTCAATTCTGGAGCTAGCATGTGCTGCATTTGCGGACGCACCGTTAAATAAAAAAAATCAGAAAAAAAGAACGCTATTGGAGTGTACATCCAATAAATAAAAAAAAAGGACATTTTTATCGTATCAGTGCCGAAATTATTCGACCAGAAAATCAAATCAGCATCGTTTATTTTCATTTCTTTTGATTTTAAATCTTTCTTTAACAGATTAAAAGAAAAATTCTTTTTGCATTTGAATCCGTTGGTATTTTACATTTTTTCAATCTTTTGTACTTTTTTCGTATCTTTCTGTGGCCGTAGGCCGGTAAAGATAAAGTTGAGTCAATTTTTCGGTTACGGCCAAAATCGACAAATTTTTCCCAGCTATTATAAACGGTAGTATGAGTTTCCTATCTTCCAACTTTTACCGGCCCAAGTTAACGATTACGGCTTACTATTATAAATTGGCCCTAAGTAATCGGAATTGGTGAAATCGGCCCATAATCAGTATCCCCCTCTCTTTAAGTATTCTCTCTCTTAAGCCCGTTTCTACAATTAAATACAAATAGATAAACTGAAACTTGATTCAACTTACACTTCATCTTTTTTTAGTTCTATTAGAAAAAGAAGAGTAAGTTGAAATTAAAGTTAATTTACATTTGATAGAAATGGGCATTAGTCGAATAAGACCTAATTTCACAACTCACAGTTAACTTAAGGTCAACTATTAACCGAGGTTCAATTTACTCTTCGTCTTTTTCTAAGAACTAGAGTAGTTTCTCATCCCTTTCCAATTCTAGAATTGGAAAGAGACATGAATAAATTGAACCTTGGTTAATGCTGATTCTACAATGATTCGGTAGTTGGAAGTTTTAATCTTAATCGGTGAAGTTGACCTTCAGTCATATAAATTGGCTATTTGTCAATTTCACTGATAAGAGTTATATTCGTATTCATAGTCAGGCCTTAAATTTATCTTCAGATACTCTACGAAATTATTTCATTGGGTATTGAGCATCTAAAGATAAATTTAAGGAAGCCTGATGTACGAGGTCTGACTATGAATAATACAGGAATACCGATTACTGACTCATTGTAGAATCAGTAAGACTTTAAACACATTAGGCACAGGCAATAGGCACAAAGAACAGGGAATAACGAGCTGTTCAATCAGAGCTCTGAGATATAATATTGAACTTACATACTAGAGCTCTGATTGGATAACTTATTATTCTCTGTTGCCTGTACCTATTATGTTTAAGCCTTAAAAGTTAACTATGAATTGTGAAACTGAGCCTTATAAGAGGGGAATATTTGACTGTGATTATGGTCAATTTTTTTACAGATATTATGACATATGACTTATGGGCTTTCTACAATAAGTCATTAGTTATAATCAGAAGTCAGAAGCTAAAAATTAATTGTCAATAACAATCGTCAATTTTTAGCTTTTAACTTTTGATTTATGACTAATAACTTATTGTAGAAGGCTAAGGTTATAGCCAGTAACGCTCCATTCCATCATACACATAAGTTGACAGGGTTGTGTTTAGCAGAAGTTTTGCAACCATTTATAATTCTCTGCTGAAGTAGGGTCATTCCTCTTGATCTAAAAGTATAATCCACTCAATGCGAAGAAAACTTTCAACAATGCAAAATAAACGTTCTGCTGAACGCAACCATTCAGTCTATTCGGTTACATGATATTTTCCCGAAAAACTAGACTGGAAAATGTTGGTACTTATAAAAACTTCTTGGCAACACGATTTTAATTTGTACAGATTAATAAGGGTGTGATTACGTATAGCGCGGTACAGAAACTAATTAGTGCTACATGTAATCGTACCCTAACACTGGTTTCCACCGAGTATAATCATATCCAGCAACATTCAACGTTGGCATCTTTGATGTAAAGGGCTCCGCAGGGAACAGAGAACAGAGAATAAGAATTTCAACCTATCAGAAATCATGTATTGTGGAATACATAGTTTCTGATAGATTGAAATTCTTATTCTCTGTTCTCTGTTTCCTTTTATTGTGCAGAGTCCCTAAATGTTCTTAGGTCACATGATTCACTGCCATGTTGTGAAGTGTACACAGTAGAGTTATGATAGGACAGGGTCTTAAATTTGAATTTCTATTAAGTTTCTAATATGTCCGCCATATTTCTGAATGTACAAACCGATACATGCGCACTAAAAATTACAGATCACACAAAAAGTTTACTATCGCTACTGTGATTATACTGTGCCGAGGGTTTAAACCGGATCAGAATGTAAGAATCAACCAATTACATTCAATTGTGCGACTATAGGGGAAATATAATACAGGGGAATATTCGACTGTAGTTGGTTGGCTCTTACATTCTGATCCGGTTTAAACCCTCAGTGGAAACTAAGCCACTGTTGAAGTAATCAGTCCATAAGTTTGTGGTATGGATTTATGGACTTATTACTTCAATGGTTATTAATCCGTACAAATTAAAATCGTGTTAGGGGTTTTTATTAGTACCAACATTTTCCAGTCTAATTTTTCGGGTTTAACCGTCTGTTTGTGTTGCTTGCACTTTTTGCACTTAGCACCTTCGCTTTCTTTTTATTCAACGCCTGAATATATATTTATCATTTTTTAAGTGCAAACATTTTTGGGGATTTCAAGCAACGCGAACCTATTCTCTTATTCTCCCATTTAAGTATTCCAAAATTCACTGTCAGTGCTAAAATAACGTATACATATGTGAAACACAATGGCTGTGTTCAGCAGACTCAATAGTTGAATGAGCGCTCGCTGCTATTGTATTTTTCCAGATCTAAAATGCTGATTGGATGATCTAAAAAAATACACCAATAACAGCGAGTGCTCACTCAACTGCATGTAGAGTCCGCTGAACGCAGTCATTTAAACAGATGATGAGTCAAAGCTGTCAAAAGTTGTTTCACGATAGAATCATAAATCATATGATAATGATGCATAATACATTTGATATTTCTTAGTAAATTAATATGACAGCTCGTTCAATCTTACAAGGTACACGCATATATTTATTGTTATTTTTATTTAATCAAATGTCTGAAACAATATATCTTTAAGTATAGACAAATACTTTGTTTCTCTGTATGTGAAAAATTAATAAATATTTATATAAATAATTATATTAAATATATACAGCTATATATAATTTTTATATTATTAACATTTTTTCTTTTTTTTTTTTTTTTCATTTGTAGTTTTCGATCAATATCAGAAGGCGCGATTGCTCTTTGTGCAATCCATTGCAGATTTAGCTTCAAAATCAAGCAACATCGATTGTCTGGAAGCAGCAGGTGTCATTGATCTCTTACATCCTTTATTAGTTGATACTGTACCATCCATCCAACATCTGGCAGCAATTGCTCTAGGCAAACTAGCGAATCATAATCCTAGACTAGCGCATGCTATCATTAGAAAAGATGTATTGTCGCATTTGTTGCAACACATAGACAAACAAAATGTACGAACTTCTTAAATGTAAACATTTTGATAGTGATAGAGAATAAAATTAATCTGAATCGTTGTATTTCCTTGCTCAGAAAATTTTGACATACAGCAATCATCTTATTAATCTTTTATATATAATTTCCAGATTTCTCATTAAGGGGATGCTGAAGCCGCCTGTATTATCGATAAAGCTAACATTTTTATTCTTGTCCAATTAATTTTGTCCGTAGTAATTTCACAGAATAAAAATTTCTTTTCCACGATAAAAATATATATACTAATATGTACCTGGCGCTGTTATATTACGTGTCCAAAGTTGGAAAAAATAAAAAAATTACATTTTTTTATCCATTTTATCTTCAACGTTGGTCGCCATATAGAGATAAAGAAATTTGTAATTTTTTATTTTTTTCAGCTTTGGACACGAAATACAACAGCGCCAGGTACATTAACATGTTTTAATCGTGAAAAAAGAATTTTTATTTTATGAGATTACTATGAAGAAAATTGTTCGGTTAGAAAAAAAAACATTAAAAACGCTAGCTTTATCGGTAATACAGACAGCTCCAGCATCCCTTTAATTATTTATGCTACATTAAATACAAGGAATGGACGAAATAATATGAATACCTAGAAAATATACTATTTGCCTGTGACACAGGTTATATTATTGGAATAGAGTTATACAATACTTAAATAACTATAATATAATAATATCCCTCACAGCACAAAATATTGCAACAATATTATTTTGAAAACGTGCAATATTTCATAAAACATTGTTACAATATTATAGCAATATTTCTATACCTGCAAAAATATTGCTGCAATATTTAGAGAAACATTGCATACGTGTTATTATAACTTATGTAATATTGCTATATACTTGCTATATACATTATGCAATATTTCAATAATTATTCCAGTTTTATTAATTGCTAACATATTATTGTGTTTAGTATCATATTTCAAAATACATACGATAAAGTTATGAACAAAAAATATTCTGGGACCTAGAAAGCATATCCAAAAAAGGTTGGGAATCTCTAGGAGACTCACTAACTCGATTTGTGTACTCCTTCTTATAAGATTCCTAGATGTTTTTTCCTTATGAAAAGCATATCCCTCTCATGGCGGAGCCACGTACTTATTTACTGAATTGTAATATTGCAATATATTCTACAAAATATTAAAGTTACAATATTTTGCAATATCGTTGCAATATTTCCAATAAAATATTAAAATTTCAATATTGCAGCAATTTTTATAATATTCAGCACTATTGAAATATTGCTATAATATTTCATGCTGGGGATTATTCTTTTAGTAATTTAGCAGAACACGTACCTTTAAATTGCTCATATAAATACATTGAAGGAGAAAATTTATTTGTCTCTACAAAATCATCTTCTACATATTATCCAAAATTTAAATATCTTTTCTGGCCAACGCAATCACCTGATTTAAATTTCATCAAATCATTGCAAATAGTTTTTAACAACAGAATGAGAAACAGGTTTCTTCCTGCAATATTTCTTAAGCGATTGGAAGATGTTCCGCCAGAAGAATGATACAACATTGCACTATTTAAGCATTAATGATTTTTCAAGCATTTTATGACTCTGTTCCAACAAGGATAAAATCAAGAAACGCAGTAGTCTTGACGCTAACTCAAATGCAATTTATAATTTGTACTAACGATAAGAACAAATGCTAGGCCAAATAATAAAACGAGTAGTATATTTCTTCAATTGGTAACATTACTTTGTCCATCTTCTATATACTATAAAAGTATTTTTTTAACTTTTAAATGAAATATATTGTCACAGAAATTTTACAAGAAAGCGGCGCTATTCGTTTTGCGGGCAATAGCCAAGCATTCACCGGAGCTGGCGTTAATAGTGGTACACAATGATGGCTTGCAGACTATAGTTAAATGCTTGGAGGATTTTGATCCTGGAATAAAAGAAGCAGCTGCTTGGGCATTAGGATATATCGCGAGACATAACAAGAATTTAGCTCAAGCGGCGGTGGATGCTAGTAAAATTATCATTATTCGTAAAATAATCGTCATTAACGTTTTTTTCTGCAATAATTATTAATAAGGTATTTTACTGGTTAATCATATCTTCGTCAGACGCGATACCTCTTCTCGTATTGTGTCTCCAAGAACCTGAATTGTATATTAAACAAATTGGTGCATCAGCTATTAGCGACATAAGTAAACATAGCATTGAACTGGCGCAGATAGTAGTAGATGCTGGTGCAATTTTTTTCCTCGCGAAAACTCTGCAGGCCAACGTCGAGGCCAAAGCAAAGGTAATCTAATACAAACATACAGCTTTGATGATAAAGTATAGCCCCCAAAAATATGATGTAAATTTCTATATTTAACAAACAATAAACTATAAGATGATTTTATTTAAAAAATAATATTTATTTTTATAACAATTTAAATGTATTGTTAGTTTTTTAATTTTTATTCCGCTATTATTCATTTGGAGGAATAAATTGAAGGTGTTTTATACCGGGATTACCTGTTTATAGGTAAAATATAGTTTATAAAATATAATTTATATCTATACAGGATTGCAGGGTAATAACTAGTTATTATAATAAGTTAAAAATTAAATAAAAAGTTAATAACTTTTCAATTAATTAATTTCAAATGAATTAATTTCTAATTTAATTTATTAGTCAATAATAAACGGATTAATTTAATTACTTTTAAACATTAATTCATTTTCTCTTTTACTTTTTCTTTTTAAGTACCGACGAGATACTATATATTGATTTGTGTATAACCCAATAAAATAAGGACCTGGACATAATGAAAGAATAAGAATTAATCACGGCACACTTAATCGGGTTTCATAATCTGTAGTTATAAAATTGACTAATCTCATAACTATATTTCTCTGAAAAAAATGGAATGAATGATTAGTTTCTAACTACGAATATTATTAAATTAATGTTCATTTCTACCAATATAGATTAATTTTAATCTTAGTTTAACTTATCGTCATCTTTTTCTAGTTCTAAAGATTAGAAAAAAACAAAGGCCGGTATTCATAGTCGGACCTTATATTCAAGGCTATCTTAAGAAATCACGAACCAATCAGAACGTCGCATTAGTGTCTTAAGACATTATTTAAGACGGTCTTGAAATAAGAATCGACTATGAATACCGGCCATTCAAATATATAAGTTAAACCGAGATTAAAAATCTACATTAATGGAAACGGGCATAAGGTATAAACGTAATCAATGTCTATAATTTATAGGAATTGTGCTTATAATTTAGACAGAAAACAATGAGAAGTAAGGATTAAATCACACCATGCACAATGGATACATAATAATAAGATATAAGATAACGTATAACATAAAAAATTAGAAGTAGGAGTTATGTAACATACAATGAATATAAATAAAATATGACTTCATAATTAATTATGTCTTTATTTTATAGGCATGTTCTGATATACATTGCCAGTACTGAAAATCTACAATATATGTAACATGAACTATAAATTTTCAGTTACTGGCTGTGCATATCGGAATACGCCTATAAAATATAATTAATTATGAAGTCATATTTTAATGTATTATATTGTATGTTACATTTAACTCCTACTTCTAATTTTTATTTTTTTATATTTAAATTTATGTAATACAAAATCTTATAAATATTGCAGTAATGTTGTAATATTATAACAATGTTGCTGCATTATTACAGTGTCTTCTTTCTTATTCCTCCACTGTGCGCAAAACCTAATATTGCATATATCTTACGTTAATATTGCTGCAACATTACGTATCAATATTTTTAAAACGGACATTTTTACATTGCTGCAATGTTGCTGAAATATTGCAGCAATATTTCGCAATATTTTGCAATGTTGCAATCTTGCAATGAAATATTTTTGCAATATTTCTCTGTTGTATGGATATATATTCTATTTTTTTGCGTAAACAATACATCCTACTTATGATCAAAGCAATATATTAAACATATCAAAATATTGAATATAATTGTAATGTCTGTAGCGTCAAGTATTATTAGCGCTGAGCAGCATAGCTAAACATTCTGCAGATTTAGCGGAAGCTGTGATCGAGGCAGAGATCTTTCAGGACATTTTGGCACACATGGCGCATCCGGATGAGAATGTCAGTAAAATCGCGGCGATTTTAACTAGGGAGATCTGCAAACATACGTTTGAGGTAAAAGATGTCGTAATACCTTTTCATTCAGCTTATATATAACGCAATTTTCACAGTTGGCGCAGCTTGTAGTAAACAATGGAGGTATCGCTGCGCTTATCGAATTAATTAGCACTTCAAAATCGGCGACCAGATTACCGGCAATTATGGCACTTGGTTACATTGCTGGTCATTCCGATCAACTGGCTGTGGCTATAATAAGATCTGAAGTATCAATCAAATGCAAGTAATAGCCCGCTAAACACGAAGTAACAATAACATTACATCAGTGTTATCATTTCCTATTCTGTAGTTAATGTAGTCATGTACACGTTTTATGTTATATTTATATTATTAAATAAGAAATTGTAATATTGATATAATGTTATTATTGTTACTTTGTGCTTAACGGGAGACTATTTTTGTACTGTGTATAACAGATTCGTGTTACTCAGGGCATCGTGCAATTAGCAGTTATATTACAAGAGGAAACGGACGATCATATTCTCGCGGTGACCGTCTGGGCTATTGGACAAATTGGCAAATACACGACCGAACATGCAAAAGCAGTTGCGATCGCAAATCTATTATCTAAATTATTGGAGGTATTTAGTTATTCTTTCCACATTTTAATTAATATCTTATAATTAATATTTTTGATTTTACAATTACGATTTCATTAGCTGTACAATGATCCGATAAGTTCCGAGGATCTCAAGGCAAAATGTTATACAGCACTAAAACAAATTCTGCAAAATTGTATGTATATTGAGGCTCTTGAATCCCTATTGCATGACGTGCCTCCTAACATCCTGAAATATGTATTGGGACAGTTCAGCAAGGTAAGATTTTATAATTCAATCGAGAATCTATGGTGAAATTTTTTTCTAAAAATATTTTATATAATCTTCTAGAATTCTTAAATAATTATCGAAATTTTTTACAAATTTCTGGATAATTTTATAATTTTTTAGAAAAATTCCTCAGATCTTTACAAATTGTAACACCAAAAGTGAGAGAGAAATTTTTGAGAAAGTCTTCTAAAGTTCTTTCTACATGTATATATGCATGAATTCTGATATTCTAAAATTTTTAAGATTATTTCTCATTTTATAATTTTTAAAGAAAACTTATAAATCTAAAGTTTAAGGTATTTTCTTTTTCAGAAATTTAAAATATAAAAATTTCTTAAAAATATAAAATATGAATATTTTTTCATCGAGGAAGACGAATCATGAAAACGCTTTACATTTAGTAATATGACAAAAGAAACGGTGATATAACCGCAAATTTTTTAAATATATGTATTCATAATATGAATAACTAAGTGTAAAAACTCTCGAAATTGTCAACAATTTGATATAAGTAAGGAAGTTTTAACGCGGTAGTGAAAGTTTAACGCGGTTAATGATGACAATTAATATTTGACTTCTGAATACCGAGTTTATTTAGATATTTCGATTCCTCTTCGATCATCTTATTCAGTATACATATAAGGTATGTTCTGATATACAGTACTGGCAGTATTGAAAAATTGTTCCGCTATCACTATGCGCTGCGTCTAATTCCCTCAATGACATCATAAATGATAGATATATTGTCACTGCGACTACTGCGGCTTTCGAGGTGAGTTACAGTGCAATATGGCCTCGCTTAAAGAAGCACAACGCGTCGAAATATTCAATCCAGGAAATAAAAAAATATATACATTATATTTAACTGCAGAAAAGATGCACATATATATTCATTTTATTGAAAATGATTCTTAAATTTCACATCTGAATATGTATTCATTAACTGTATCCATATAATTTTTAACACGAAATCAAACTGTTTGAATTGGTGAATCCATAATTAGTTCATCTTCTTTGGCAGAACTATCGCTGCTGTTTTCATTCAAAATTTATTGACAATTTAATACGTTTAGCTATGTCTATTTACACTACTGCCACTCTATTGCAAAGCCGTTCCGAAATACGACATTACAGTAATGCTGGCAGTATCATAATTTTGGAACGGCTGTGCACTGTTGTGACATCATGATGGTTGCACTGTCAGTAAGAGGGGAATACATAATAATGGAATAAAGGATTGTTCATTGGCACAACAGATAGAATGCTCCTTTACCCCTGGAACTCTCTTTATGAAACTCTCGCATGAAACAATGTGTATTGGCAAACTTTACAGCGAATAGTTATAAAAATGGCTTATACATATATAAGTTTTTGTTAGAGAGAAACCTGAGAGAAGACATGACGGCCCAAACCTGTAACTGCAAAATACTTCCGCGCACTACTGCTCTCTGACAAAATGGATGTAAACTACATAGTAACGTCCACTTTTCAAGGTTGGAGATGATAAATCGATATTTGATTCAAATAATCGTGTGTATATGTAGCACAATTATTTGATTCAAATAATCGTGTGTATATGTAGCACAATTATATTGGTTAAACAAATTTAATCGATTCCAATTCTTTAATCTCTTTTTATCTATTTCCAATAACACATATCTTTTAAATTTTAAGCATATACTGTAGGTAAAGTGCGTTTTGAAATAATTTAAAAGTGGGCCTTATTTAGTGGCCTTATTCGCAGCTCGGATAGCTTATACTAAGACCTTACGTACTATGGAGGGAATATTATTACAGCATAAATATTGAGATTTTAACCTACACCGTGTATTTTAGTGTAAAGTCTTAAACACAATGCGAAGGAATAGCGATAGTGATAGGAATAACACGATTTCAACCTATCAGAAATCAGATACACTGGAATATACACTTTCTGATAGATTGAAATCGTGTTATTCCTATCGCTATCGCTATTCCTTTACATTGTATTTAAGGCTTAACTGCTGAAAGTTATTATCTGATAGGTAATTCTGATAGGTTAAAATCTTAATATTTATTCCTATTCCTAGGCTACATTTCAAAACTTCTTCTCTGAGGAAAATTACTCGAAATATATAGTACACGTAACGTATACTATAGCATATAGAATAAAATTTTTCTCGGAGAGAAAATTTTAGAACGTAGCCCTAATGTTTGTTCTATTGTGTGCAAATTAACTACTTGACAAAAAAATTTTTCGAATTGTGAAAATCTATGAAACCATTCTTAAAGAATAATCCGGAAATAACTTTTAATTAGAACGAATAAAGGAATTCATTACAATAGTAATGGATAGGATTATAAACAAATGTTACCGTTATTATTATATAGAGGATCGTGACACATATAAGATCCAATGAGAAGTGAAACGACATCGATTTGACATTGATTGTTATTTCTCACTGGGGATTATTAATAAAGAGCCTTCCACTATCTAACGAGGTAACTTTGAGTGCATTCTAATATTTATTGGCTTAGTTTCCACGAGGATTTAAATCGGAACAGAATGTAAGAACCAACTAACTACAATCGAGCATTCCTCTATCGTTCAACTGTAACAAGGGAATATTCGACTTACATTCTGATCCGGTTTATCCTCGGTGGAAACTAGACTATTGCCAGTGCTAAAAATCTGTAGCACTCGTAACGTATACTAGGTGCTTTTCATTTGATGACACAAGTCGACACAAGTGTTCTATCCTTATTGACATTCAGAGAATGACAAAGATAGAACGATAGTATAGTTTCAGCACTGACAGTGAATATCCCCACAATGAACGAACCCTTAGAGATTTACTCACTAGAAATATGACTGCGTTCAGCAGAGAAAACAACTTTGCAATTATTGTAAAATTCTTCTTTGAACGCAGACAATGTTATATTTCAATTGGGAACGGCGTACTTGCACACAATTTAATTGCACAACTCACACTGATCTGTTCTTAATAATTTTTCACTGCTTCACCAATGAGATTATATTATTTTAAATTAGCCAATTAGTGATTTGGGCAATTGATATACACCCTTTCAATTATATAATATGAGCATCATTGGGTGTTTTTTCGAATTTTCAAACAACAAAAAAAAAAGACATATTTCTTATAATTAATTTAATTATTCAAAGACAAAATAAATTATTGTTTCGAATCTCTGCCAATTAATGTCTGCCATCTTGCAACCATTTATCAACGAATTTAGAATGATAAAGTATGCACTCTACCGATTCTGCCAATTAATGAGCGATCTTTTATTTCACTATTATATATGTACACTAAAAATGGCCCGAAGAGGAGCCAAAATGTCGAAATAAACTCGATTTTCAAAAGTTATAAATAGGATAGAGCAGCTGATTTTTTATTGTAATGTTTATGTTTCTGAACAGCATGTATTGATTATTTGAAGGAATTGTGCTTGTGCTCTCAAGAAGCAATTATGATTGTATAATGTAATTATATAATGTAATTATATATATAAGCGCTCACATAATTAGTAAAAGGAAACTGTTTGTCGTAAATTTTTGTATTACTTTAAAGTTGAAACTGACGGAATACTTCGGAACTCCGCTTTATCCTATTAGATTAATTACATCATCAACCACGCTAAACCTCTTACTCTAGCCCTTACTCAATTTGTTAATAATATAAATATTTTGAGAATATTTCACATACGTTTTAATGACACGTTATACAAAGTTATAATACAAATTTTTTTCTCACAATTTTTTCCTCACTCAATACAATAACGCACTTAGGACATAATTACAAAAATTACATAGGATTTTAATAATCGAATACAAATATAGCTCGCTCTTCCACTTTTCATCGCTTAACAAAGTTCTTGTTTTGTGAATGTTTATGATATTTGCATGATATATTGCAAACGATATGATAAAGCTATACTAACATACAAATTTTTGCTCTACTTAAAAATTGGTCACACGCAACTGCGCATAAAGTACCTGTAACGTATATACATATATAAGAATTTCCGTGAACGCGCACGTCCACACACGCACGCACGCGCGCGCGCGCACACACACACATACACACACACATACACACACATCAGCAGCCAACTTCTATCCATTTATTTCCGAAAACAAAACAATCTTTTCGATTAGATTGCGTCTAACTTAGGTACAGAACATAAATGCGATTACGTTATCATTGTGCACATTCTTCAATATCGTATATGTTCAGAAATATAACAATTCAGAAATCTTTAAATATGTAAGAAGTTCTTTCGCTGCTATTCTCTCTTATTCTTTCTTTTTTTTTCTCGAATTTTTTTTTTCTAGGACAGTATGGCACCTTTAAAATTCCAAAAAGTGCATATTTTAGTCTTACATGACAGCGAGAGTTCGAACAACTACAATAGAGACATATTTGCTCTTATTAAAAATTCGTTTAAAAATTATTTAAATGTGCTTTAGGAAAATGTTAATCGCACGATTGTTTTCAAGTTAATCTCATAAATTTGCGTTTTATTATTTTATTCTCTAATGGCAGTACCTGGCTTATACACAAATAAAAAATTCGGATATAAAACAATCAAGAACAATCAAGTTAATAAGTGTGGATGAACAACAATTGATCGACAAAAATACATTAAAATTTCAAGTGATAAGGCATTTATTTATTTGATATTCGTATTAGTTTTATATGTAAATCTATATTGTTACATATGCTCTCAGATAAATATCTTTAATAAATATTAAGCTCGTCAATAATAACACAGTAATTTTAGTACATATTAAAGTATTGTTAAATTTGATGAATCGTTTCGAATTGTATTGGCAATATTAGCGGTTCTATATTTAATAGCATTTTTTTTTTAATTGTACAAAAGAATTCTCTCTCAATCTGTTGTAAAAGCGTAAAGAGCATTTTAAATGCTATAAAATATGAACATCACGTTTTTATATGAGAAACGACGTATCTTTAAGACGAGAAAATACAATTCTATAATGCATAGCAAAATGCAGAAAAATATTGTGAATTTACCAAAACTTTTGATGCAGTTCGAATCTTAAAGCAATTAAGGTGCATATTCGGCTCAGTTCATGCAATCTGTTTAAATATTTCTGCAAAACAAGAAAGAATTATTTAATATCAGACTACTTTTTACGATCAATAAAAACATTTGAAAAACATAAATTTTAAAATATAATAAGAAATTTATGCGTATATATTAGGTGTAGTAAAAAGAAATCCATTATTTTTGCATGAAATTGAATGGAAAAATAATAGATTTCTTTGACTACACCTAATATTTAACCATTGCAGAATAATATTAAAATCAATGACGAAAATTAAAAAAATAACTCAATAAAAAATATCAATTATCTTTTCGATTGGCAAGTTGATTATGAATAAAAAGCAAATTATTTTTTCAACTTTTTTCCTGCATTTTTGCAGTAGTTAAAAAGTTTACATATATATATATA